AGCAGCCATCTGCTATGGAAGGGTCTCATACTTCAAATGGAAAAGGAATGCCACTGTCTCATGTGCAATCAGATCCTATCTCATCTTGGAAGTTAGGCAGGAACAGCCCTAGTTAGTCCATGGATGAGGGGATAGCAATGAATAACAGGTGCTGAAGAATGAAGATCTATCAAAAACGCCTGAATATTCTTTGCTTAATAACCCCTATAAAATATATGGGATCACCGCAAGTCATCAGGTGGTTTAACAGCACATGCACACATATACACAAGCTAAAACTTCTTGCACTAAGGAAATTCAAAATGCCTCTAAATGTTTTACAATCCTGATGCAAGTTAATTGCAAGGGATATGCACTTTTAACATGAATGTTGTCATTTAGCTATATTTTTTTCTGCAATGTAATTTTTCTAAAACTATTTTTTCTAGATTACAATTTTAGAGGAACTGCAAGATCATTTTCTCTCACCGCATATCTTCCATGTGTTTTCTGTGATATTCTCAGCATTATTGTGGATTAGTGTGGGCTTTTGTAATATCTGCCTGAAATAATTCTTTAACAAAACGTTGTGAAATTGTTCTAGAGAAGAATATTAACGGAAGTCACCAAAGTTCAGTAAGTGGCTATATCACTAGTATTATCTTAGGGTGTTCCCAAATAAGCCTTATTTAGGGTATTCAGGGAAAAAAATCTAAGTTGTTTTTTTTTTTAAATTAAGGACCCACCATCAGCTTCATGCTCGATATCTTGCCAAACTCATTTTCTCTGATGACCATGTTGGCCTTATGGTTCCTTCAAAGGGCTGTTTGTAATTGCAAGACTCTATAAATGTAACTGGAGCTCCCGGTGGCATAGCGGGTTAAACCATTGAGCTGCTGAACTTGCTGACCGAAAGGTTGGCAGTTCGAATCCAGAGAATGGAGTGAGCTCCCGCTGTTAGCCCTAGCTTCTGTCAACCTGGCAGTTCAAAAACATGCAAATGTGAGTAGATTAATAGATATCGCTCTGGCAGGAAGGTAACTGCGCTCCATGCTCCATGCATTGTCTACAGACAATGCTGGCTCTTCGACTTAGAAATGGAGATGAGCACCACCACCCCGAGCTGGACTTGACTAGACTTAATGTCAGGGGAAAACTTTACCTTTACCTGTAATATGTAACTATTGTGCCTTGGCATTGAAAGCCTTGTAGGCCACATAAAATGACATAGATGGCTGGATTTGGCCTGTAGACTTTGCATTTCACATATGTGGTTTAATGTGTAACATGAAGTACGATTACTTCTGAAACCTAAGACACTTTCAGTATTGAATGTGAAGATGTCAGTCCTTTAATTGGGTACATGTTTTCACTCAATGCCACATTTGTCAGACATGTCTAGAAAATCAGTGATGTTATGATGGAAGAAACTTGATATATTTTCAACCAACTTATGTTGCATTTTTATCACCAAAGAAGCTTTTATACACATGTGTAACATACCATCTTTTAATCTGGATCAATGCCATTTGAAGGATTTTTAAAGGGTATAAAAAGAAATGTCTGAAATAAATCAAACCAAAGATTTTGATTACCGCTTCCCTATGAAATAAGACATAGTTATCCCATAAAAGTACTGTATGGTTGCTGACAAATTGTTCTTTTTGTGACAACAACAACAACATTTTATTATGGTCCAAAGACCCTTATTGCACCATAGGTGTAAAAGTATGCAGGTAATGAGATTAAGAACATTCAATTGATTTTATGATAGAAACTGTCAAGGAAAATATGAACTTTAGGGAACCAAGTAGCAAGGATGGCAAACAAAAGAACTGAAGAAGAAGAATATCTTTTGGGTAACACAATTCTTACTGATTTCTAATGTAAATGAAAAAAATGAGGGGGAAAGCCTTCTACTTACCCATGGGTCCACTTGGGAAGGATTAATGCAACAGAAGAAATAATGAAAAAGGGGTTTATTTTGAATTTCCAAATCTTGAGAATATATTGAGTGTTTGATGTAATTATTGTTAATGCTTCTATTTTGTTGTTCTACTTTTAATTTTAATATATATAAAATTTCTATTTACTAGGAAAACAGGGCTCTTTGATATGCTATAGCTTTTATTTATAAGTATATTAGATTTTATAATGCAATTTGTAGTAAATATCGAGAATTGATATGGTTTGCTCATCAGAAAAGATTACTTGGAAATAAATTGTGATGGAGGAGAGGGTGCGGTCCAGTTCTCATCACTTGTAAACCCTTGTACTGTATCTTGGCAATGTTGGTAGAGACTTGAAAAATAAATCATCTTTAAAAAAAACTACTACATGTTTGAACTAAAAAATCTGGATGGGGTTGAACCACTGAACAGCTATCTTGTTGCTATAGAATGGAACGGAATGTTTTTAAATGTTTCATATTTATTAATTTTGATTTAATTTTAATTTTTAATATTTTGGAATTGTACACCTTTTAAGGCATTGAATAATTGCCTCTATGTATGCCGCCTTGAGTCCCCTTGAAGGTAGAGAAAGGCGAGGTGTAAATAGTGTAAATAAATAATTAGTACAATATAATATAGTTACCAGAACAATAGCAAGTGGAGAACCCAGAATTATTTAGTAAGCCCTCTGCCCTATGTGGTGAAGAGGAGCCCCCGGTGGCGCAGTGGGTTAAAGCACTGAGCTGCTGAGCTTGTTGATCGAAAGGTCACAGGTTAGATTCCGGGGAGCGGCGTGAGCTTCTGCCAACCTAGCAGTTCGAAAACATGCAAATGTGAGTAGATCAATAGGTACCGCTCTGGCGGGAAGCTAACGGCACTCCATGCAGTCATGCCGGCCACATGACCTTGGAGGTGTCTACGGACAACGCTGGCTCTACGGCTTAGAAATGGAGATGAGCACCACACCCGGAGTCAGACATGACTGGACTTAATGTCAAGGGACTACCTTTATGTGGTGAAGAGGAATGAAGCTGCCGGTCTAACCCAGTGTTTGGAGGCATTGGCTGAGCCTTGGATTGCATCTACATTAATTCAGTCTCTCATCATTTTATCTGTCCTGGCTCAATGCTATGGAATCCTGAAATTTGTAGTTTGTTAAGCACCAACACAATTTGGCAGAAACGCTAAAGATCTTGTAAAACAATATTTCCCATTATTCCATAGTATTGAGTCAGCACAGTCAAACTGCATTAATTCTATGATGTTGATGCAACTTTATTTCCCATTGGAGGTGATTGGGGGAGCGCTATAAGGCATGGACAGCCTGTGAAGCCTGAATAGTGTGGTTATAGAGCATGTATGGCCAAATTTTGGCCCTCCGGGTGTTTTGGACTTCACCATATAAGCTGTTAGGAATTGTGGGAGTTGAAATCCAAAACACCTGGAGGGCCAAAGTTTGCCCATGCCTCCTACAGAGTATAAAGGTAGCAAAACATAAATCAGGAATGTTTGCATAATTCCAAGGACATGGGCACTGATTGATGAGTGGTAAGCCAACCTAACTAAACAAAAAGATGAAGGGAGAAATGACTTGAAAGAGAAAATAAGTACACACACACATATACATACACACACGTGTATTTTCTCCTTGCGGCACATTACATTACACTGCAGACATGGCATCATATTTTAATGTGGATTGAACATGTACAGACAGTCCCTGAGTTGCAAACATCCTATTTCCAAATGGCTCATAGTTAAGAACAGCTGGTGAGACAGGTGAGAAAAATTCACTCCTGGAAGAGTTATCATGGGGAAAAGGTGTCTACACTGAAACTTTCTCACCAATATTTGTTTCCGCAACAAACCACATTTTTCAAAATTCAATTATCAAAGGGAGTGAAATCTACACAGGTACAGACAGCAAAAGAAACACCACAGGAGTGTTAACCCTTATGCTAGCCAAAGTGTATATCTTGCTAGCTGCAGTTAGACTTTTAAAATGTACCTGTTCTGACTTGCATACAAGTTCACTTTAAGAATAAACCTGCAGAACCTATCATGTTCATAACTTGGGGACTGCCTGTATATCATCTGCTTTTCTCTGTGAAGTAAACACCAGCATGCAAGGAAAATAACCATTAGCCATGGGCATTACAATCTTGAGTGTTTGAAAACATAAAAGCACAAGGATAAGAAATACCATCATCATTATTACTATCATTTGAATAGCCCATTTCTTACCAGCAACCCATTTATCACCTAGGAACAAAGCTATTAAAACAACTATCTTGATATGTGAGAGGCTGGCATTTGAAGTCACAATGGTACCTCTAGAGCAGTAGTTCCCAACTGCTTTTTTGACCAGGAACCACTTGAATAGGGACCACTTTGACCAGGAACCACTTTGATCAGGGACTACTCTCCAACATTAGTACCAAAAGGGTTACGAATCAGTTTTTGTCAACTTCAGATTTGGTTTGGTTATTTGGGGTGCTGATTCAGAAAATTGCATTGGATAGACCACATCGGCTCTAGTTTCTCATACAGAACATATGCCATCCAGTAGTCACCATCTGCTCACCCACAATAAACCATATTTAATAATCTACAGCTGATGTGGTAGTACAGTGGTTCTCAACCTGTGGGTCCCCAGATGTTTTGCCTGCAACTCTCAGAAATCTTAACAGCAGGTAAACTGGCTGGGGTTTCAGGAAGTTGTAGGCCAAAACACGTGGGGACCCAAAGGTTGAGAGCTACTGTGGTAGTAGTAATCTTTCATGAATAGTCAGCATCTCCTTTCCTGACATTCCAGTTGCCTCAGCACTATAAGAGGATTTTGCAAGACCAGTTTCTCTCATTGCTGTGTGGTTTCGAGGCAACAGTGTAGTAATGGTAAGGCCGCGGACCATATTTTTGTTCTTGCGGACCATTGGTGGTCCATGGACCACAGGTTAGGAACCACTTCTCTAGAGCTAGTTTTATAATGCCCCCAGCATCTATCTGTCCAATTAGAGACTTCTTTACTAGCATAATGGTAATCGATTTCTATACATTTTCTTTGTCCAATCACATTAGAGATCACCAGACTGTGTCCTGTAGACAGATTTGTTTACAACTAACAACCTGTCTTCCATGGCAAACTATTTCTGAAATGAAATAATTGGCAAAATGCTAGGGAAGTTCATTTGGAATGTATTGTCGAAGGCTTTCATGGATGGAATCACTGGGTTGCTGTGAGTTTTCTAGGCTGTGCTCTTCATTTGCAATCTTAGAAGGGAAAATCGTTCCTACAACCAGCTTCCAGAATCAGTACTTTCAGCTGCATGGGAATCTGCTGTGTTGGACTGTTCTTTCAAGTTTAAAATTAAAGTTGCAACAGTAGAGTGAGGATCAAGTAATTTTGCAAGAGATATTTTGACTTTTCTGTCCACAAAGATACGATTCTGTAGTACAGGGGCCAATGCAGAATCAACTCCTAGTGATAAGAGTGGTGTGTGTAATGATAGATCACCAGGAATTGTGTCAACCAGGGTTTTCAGAAGCGAGACAACATAATCAACAGGTCCCTCTAGAGGCAGATTCTGGGATGCAACTCTCTCAGGGAATTCAGGATAATTACTACCCAATTCTTTGGAAACAAGATTATAAAAACGACTCTTCAGTGACCGATTTTCAGATGATAAATGACAGGCCAATCTTTGAAAGTCAAGTTTTACTATAGCTGGCTGAGTCTTGTTTAGAATTAAAGTTTTTCTAAGATACTCGTGGATATCATTCACTTGTAGATCCTCTAAAGCCTTAGTATGTTGTGCATTACTTTGACTCTGGTGCTGAGTTTGCACAATTCCAAGATTTAAAGCACCCCAATTAATGGATTGTCCTGCAAGCCCACTGTTTCTCCGATAATGGCAAAACAGATCCAGAAAGGAATTGGCAGCTGCATAGTTTGATTGAGTTGCATTTCCAAGAAATGACGAAAAAGAGGAGTAGCATACAAAATGGTCAAGCTCCTGCCCTTGTGTGGCACGATGAAGATTGATTGCCCCTGCTACCTTTGGATTTAAAACTTCTTCAAAGTGAGACATGGTGAGTGTTTCAAGAGGTCCGTCATGTAAAACCATTGCACAATGAAATATACCCTTAAAAGAAGAGTTTGGGAAAATTTTACCAACGGATTTCACGGCCTTCTCAACCTCAGACATGGAAATAACATTGCACTGCAGGCTAACTATTCTGCTCCATTTGCAGTGATCTTGGAGATCATTTAGCTCCTTTTGCATCTCAGCACTGGGGTTTCTTCGTGAAAGTATCACAATTTTACCTCCTCCATTCTGTGCTACAAATTTTACAGTTTCTAAACCAAGCCCAGTGAGTCCACCTGTAATGATATAAATGGCATTCTGCTTAAATAATCGCCTGTCTGTTTCAAGCATTGTGATGTCTGAGATCTTACTGTTTACCTCGTCACTTGTCAGCACTGCAACTGGGACACTTTTGCAGTTGAAATAGGATGCCGTATTATCTGACCTCTCACCTCCTTGCTGAAAAAGGGAAAATGGCAGCTGCTTTAATGGTTTCGTATTCATTGATTTAAGCCAGCAGTAGATCTCCTTCTGAGATCGCAACAGAGATGCTTTTTGAAAAATATGGGTAAGATTAACCGTATGGATCTGGATGTTTTCATGATCAGTTCCAGTCAGATTCTTTAAACACTCTGGCTGTTCGTTACCATAAACAAGTACAATGTCTTTGAGATGGAAAAGACAAGTTAGAGCTTCTTTAAATATTCCATTTAGCGGAGGCAGGAAAATGAGAGCAGAGCATTGATTAACACGTTGCCAGATTCCAGTCACATGGTTGGTAATTACTGTTTTCCATCCTAATTCCTGGGCTATAAAAGTAAGCACTTTGCACAAAACTGACTCTGGTTCAATGGAAATAATACCCAATAGTTCACCATGTTTTGGCATCGGCAACCTTTGATGCAACACAACATTTGCAATCCAGAAGAATGATATGCAGGGCACGTTTCTGAAGAATGGAAATTTTTGGGTATTGAAGCAAATGGTTTCTGGAATATTCATCCTTGACGTTGCAGAAACTGGATAACATGAAGCAATATGGTCCCCTACTTTTATCTTTTTCACTTCTGCACCCGTTGCAGTTACAACACCACTAATATCTAGTGCTAATAATTTGTGTGTATCTGTTGTATGTGAATTCCAGTACAAGGTTTTGCCAAACATACAACTTGACATACTAACAGGAAAATAGTCTTCTGAGTGGATACTTATTTTTTGAATTTGAACCTCAACAATGTGCTTATCAAGCTGGATCTGTGAGCTGGTCACCTTTGCTGAGAGATCCTTCACATCATATGGATTTGCTGTGAACAGAATGCACCATTCAGAATCCTGGAGTGGGTAGGAAGGTGTACTGAAGGCAGCGGCTTCAATCTGTGTGCGTCCAATTTCAGAAGTGTAAATCCTTCCTTCATCGATCCAGATTTCTGGGTAATCCTGTGCTTTATATTTGACTAAAACATCTGCTAAAGCTGAGATATCTATTGTGTTTGTAGAACTGATGTCAATAATCTGAAATGAAATTTCAGGGACTTCAGACATGCAAGCTCGAGCCATGCCATACAATGCAAAACCAGGATTTATGTGATCGACTTTCCCTTCTGAGGTCCTGTAGGTAATTATTGTAATGGAGCAATTGGACTTCTTCTCTCTTAATGCAATAACAACCTGGCGAAATGCTTCACAACACCTCACTGAGTATTTCACCACTTTTTCTGGTAAAGATTCATTCAGTTTTTGGATACCCCACATGAACAGAACATCTTGATATCCTTGCAGCTCTAGATTAATCTTATTCTGTGCATTCACATCAGATCTCTTGCCTACTAACATCTTGTCCCATTCATGATAAGGGACAAATCTAGACTCACTGTGTAAGTAATTCTTGAGCTGCTGTGTTATCCCCGATTTATCAGCAAACACTACAACTCTAGGAGCCTTTGGTAGATTTTGCATTGTTTGCTCAGAGGTGATCTCTTTCCAGTTAGTTTCAAACAAAAATTCATTTTCATTCTTTGGAGTTTCTTTTACAAAAGTGAATTGAACACCCGTCAATTCTGCCAAAACAGATCCATGCTTGTCTAGAAAGCATCCACAAAACTGTAAGCAGTTATCAGCAGACTTGCTTAACTTTACATACACCATCATTTCCTCTTGCAGAGGTTGACCTACTATGAGACTGTTTATGCTGGAAAGGAAGCCTATTTTGTTCTTTTTCGTGACTTTAGCCAGCACCACCACCATCTGTAAGAAACAATCCAAGAGTAGTGGGTGGATATAATACTTATACATTTCCACTGCTATTTGTCTGTTCACCTTTAAAGTTGTTATAGCTTCTTTCAGATCTTCACAGTAAAATATGTCACGTAGCTGCCTAGAGGTAGGACCGTGCTCAAATCCCAGCTGTGCCAGAGCTTCATAAACCTCACTTTCTCCAATAACAGACTTACACCTGTGAAAAATGTCTTTGGAAGAAATCATCTTTTCTTCAAGTGGTGTTTCAGGATACTTAGTAACCTGGCCTGATACATAAACCACATTAGTTGATCCAGAGAGGATCCTGAAATCAGATAGTCTTTCTTGTGACTCCACTCTTATCTTCAAAACATGGGGATTTTCATTTAAAATATATGGTTCTGTAAACATTATATTCGTTTGGCAAAAACATAAGGGAACTTTTGATCTTGATCTAGTCATCACAGCAGCCAAAGCTAGTTCCACAAAGAATGCCTCAGCAATTAAAGCAACATTGCGACTCTTATGCTCATATAAATATGGAGTGAGGGCTTCAGAGATGGTACAGATGAATTCTGAGCTTTCCTTATTTGTACTGAAAATCAAAGGATGACTTGAATGTCTATCTTTATGACTTATTTGCTGGCTGATGTTTTGATGTGACCTGAGCTTTTTATGTTCGAATTGATATCTGGGAAAGGCTGCTGGTATACTTTGATACCCTTCATAAAAATGCTGCCAATCCACATTGAATCCCAGTTCAAACAAATCTTTTGCCATATTAAGAAGAGACATGTATTCTCTGTCAATTTGCATGAATCTGAAAACTTTGTGGTGTGCTCCTGAGGTTTCAGTGACGTATGTCTGCAGCTCTCCCTGGGATCCTATTTCTACAAATGCAATGTTGTCCTTGTCCTTTGTTGATGTCACTATGGCCTCTGCAAAACAAACAGCTTCTCGAGCCTGTCTGGCCCAGTATTTGCCGGTGACAAAATCACCATCTGAAGCAGCCTTCCCTGTTGTGGAGGAAATCAAGTCAATTTCAGGATTCCCTTTCTTCAAATCTGACAGGTTTGCTGCCAGTTCTGTCAATATTGGATCCATCATGTGGCTGTGGTATGCAACTGGAACATTTAAGACATGAAGAAATATGCTTCTTGTGCTAAAGTGCTCAGCTAGATGCTTCTGAAGGCCATCAATGGCATCTGCATCCCCTGACAAAATGCAAGATTGAGGACTGTTAAATGCCGCTACACAGACTTTGCCGGAGTATGGGGAAAGGGCTTCTGACACTTCATGGACAGGGATATTCCTAACGACAAGCATTTTACCCCCAGTGACCTTAGCCTGTAGCCTGCTCCTGTGATAGATAACTTTGACAGCATCTTCCAGGGAAATCAAACCAGCACAATGGGCAGCAGCCACTTCGCCAACTGAATGCCCAACAGCTGCAATTGGCTTTATTCCCCAATATTGCAGAAGGGAAACCAAAGCTACCTGCAACGTGAAAATTAAGGGCTGGGCAATATCAGGTTTGGACAAATTCTTGTTCTCAGATTCTGTTAATTCCTCAATTTCAGTGGGTGAAAGCTGTTGAAATGCCTTCTTGATTTCAGCACATTTGTCTCTAAAGACAGGCTCAGATTTCAGCAGAATTGTGCAAATCCCTTTAAAACCCAGCTCATTACCAGAGAACACAAAAATCAATTGTGGTGGTTTCTTAGATGGAGATACCTCCATTGTAGCTGCAGATATAAGCTTTTGTTGTAGGTGTTGCAGAGAAGACACCAGAAAGGCTCTTCTATAATTATAGTTTATGTGGCTTCTTCTACATGCCGATGTATAGGCCAGATTTTGCAAGTTTATTGAGTCATTTCTGTTAACATATCTAGCTGTGTCTTCCATTGTCTGTTTGAGGGAGCAACCTGAGGCTGCAGAAATGATGAATAATTCAACAGGCCTTTTGACCGGAGTAGGAACTTCACTTTGCCTGACCTGTCTGACAACCATGTGGATATTGTTCCCTTCGTATCCAAAACAGTTGATTCCAGCAACTCTGCCAAATTCACTAGATTCAACCCATTCTTCCACTGTAGTTGGAATTGAGAAATTTAATTCTTTTGTATTTATGCTGCTACTGCTTTCTGAAAAGTGCAAGGATGGAACAATCTTTCCATGGTGCATCATGAGAAGTACTTTGATCAAACCGGCTGCTCCAGCGGCAGATTCTGTATGTCCAATATTTCCCATAATTGAACCAATCTTGAGAAGTGGCAAATTAGAAAGCCTCTTCTTACCAATGATATTTCCTAAGCTCTCCGCTTCTGCAATGTCTTGAGCAGGGTTTCCTGTGCTGTGGGTTTCAATGTATTGAACTGCTGATGGGTTGATTTGTGTTGGGTAAATGCTGAGCAATAACTTTTCTTGTTCTACTTGAAGCAGATTGGAGACTGCTTTTCCATTCTGGCTGACTGCAGTGATGCTGAGGACACCCCATATTTTGTTGAAATCTTCCTGTGCCTGTGATTGAAGGAAAGAGGCAAGAAATACATAATGATGTATAATGTCAATAGCTCTTGTATGCATCCTACAAAGGGCCCTTCCACACAGTCCTATATTCCAGAATACTAAGGCAAGAAACCCCACAATATCTGCTTTGAACTGGGTTATCTGAGTCCACATTGCCATATATTTCAGTTCAAAGCAGATATTGTGGAATTTCCTGTCTTGATATTCTGGGTTATATGGTTGTGTGGAAGGGCCCAAAGATATCCAACAGTGTATATGTTCCTTGTCCTCTACTCACTTCCCATGACAACCATATGCACGAGTGTCGAGTCTTAGGAAACCACTGCACAAAAATTAATACATCTACAGCTTTGAAATATTTTTTGAAGAACCCCTAGAAAATTCATATGGAAGATTAAAGTTCTAGGAAACCTTGGCTGAGAAGCTGTGAAATAAGCTGAGGGCCCTTCCACACAGCCATATAACACAGAATATCAAGTCAGATAATCCACAATATCTGCTTTGAACTGGATTATCTGAGTCCACATTGCCATATAACTCCGTTCAAAGCATGTAATATGGGTTTCTATACAGCTGTGTGGAAGGGGCTTGAGAAATAAAGTCACACAGGGATCACCATGCATGGCTAAGTAGACATGTGAACTGTGGTCTCCTCAATTTTAGTTTGCTATTCTCACCATATGAAAGTGGAGAATCTTGTGATCCAGCAACTCTCTTGGAGAGCCTGTGATGAAATTGCCAATGTGCCATCTAAAGGGAGTATTCTTATTTATGTTCTGCTTGCATTCTTTAAAATAAATGTTTTAAAAACTATAAATCCCCAGAGTGTAATCTATCATGTATCACCACTTGTGGAAATGAGGAGTTAAAATAAATAAATAAGCACTTGCCTTCATCAGTGGCTTCAACAAAAGAACACCACATCCTTCTCCTCTTCCATATCCAGCTGCCTTCTTGGAGAATGGTTTAGTGATTCCATCAGGAGATAACATTTTTGCTTTACTGAGAGAGACAAACTTCCAAGGATTTATGATGCAATTTACTCCTCCACAAAGAGCAGCTTCACAGTCTCCTGTATCATATGAATAAAAAGGTAAACTAAGGCAGAAACAGTTTAAAACTGGTATCGTATTTATATGCACAAGAAGAGGTCACATTTATGGCATAGTTCTTGTTATATTTTTTGTCATATACGTCTTTTATGAATTTATTTAAATATTAATATCCCACCCTGCATCCAAGTGAAATCAGTATGGGGTATTTTAAATAGATTAAAAGAGGTTAAAACAATTTAAACCATGTGCACAAGCTCTTTGGAGTGAACATTTAGGCTCCAAAGAGGTTGATAAACATTGTCTTCTACAAAGCGCCAAAAGGAAACCAGCATGGACATCAAACTGCTCTCCAGGGGCTTGTAACTAGAGTTACACAACAGAGTAGCTTCTCTCTTTTTATCTCTCCCAATGGTGAGATAATGGTGGGATACAGTCTAATAACACTTTAATGGTGGGATACAATCTAATAGGCTTAAATGTCTCCTAATCTCATTTATGCTTAGCTACTGGCAATAAACGCTTAATGGTGGGCTCCAGTCTAAAAGGCCGAAATGTCTTCTAATCTCATTTATACTTAGCTACTGGCAATAAAAGCTTTAATCTAAACTACGCTGATAGTTTTGGCCATACTCTATTTCCTTTGCTCCTCCCCCTGGGTTGCAGTAATGAATATTTTGTCTGGAATAGAATCCAGCCCTTTGGCAGAAAAACGTTCTTTACCTTTGGTCAAGGCAGTATTAACTGTTGGGGTAATTCCACCAAAATATAGCAGAGTACCAAGAATAAACTCCACCATAAGCAGGAACTTACATGTGGTGAGAAGGGATAGCCTTCTAATCTTTAGGATGGTTTAGGACTGCAGGTGAACCAAACTTTAGGCTCAAAATATTTTTTAAGCAAAAGGAAATATATTCATGATAGAAAAGTATTGGAGCTAACTATCTTGCTAAATCTCATCTTCTAAAGAAGGTAAAAGGTAAACAAAGTCCATGCAGCTACATTTTGCCTACAGAGAGGTAAAATACATCCTCACAGAAAGAAAGAAAAAGCAGAAAGCATGGTCTTCCCGGGGACAGTTTAAACTTAAGAGGAATATAATTCATATAACTCATATAATTCAATTACTACATCATCAAAGGGGAAAGAGACAGTGACAAACAGTAGGGACAAACAGTCCTTTGGGAAAACATGCATAGGAGTGTGGGGGAAAGGAATCTCTAAGCTTGGCCCTGGCCTCTAGGCTAGCTACTTATTGAGGACTAGAAACTTGATGACACAAAGACATGTGCAGTCCAGGGATAAAACCCAACAGGAACCTTTGCAGATATGAGGGTCAGTTTTAAATCCACAGGGCCACATTTTTTTTAATTCCCACAAATCACTAGAAGTCAAGTTTGGTTCCCAAAATGAGGTTTGTTTTGTGTAAAGTATTACAAGGAGATCTTACAACCTATGTAAAAGTGGGTTACTTCCTACTCCTGGAATCTTTAAATTCAGAGGCTTGGTTTTATGGCAAATAAAATATTTGGGGCTTCAATTCAACACATTTTTTTCATTTTGTTTTCTGTCCCAAAAAGGAATGTTGAGGTATTGAAGCACATCATAACAGATTCAGGGGGCTGCATGCCATAAATGGGGAAACTTTATTTATTCATGGGATTGAATTTCCCCCTCTAAGCTCAATCTAGTACCTCCTGCAATAGCAGAGCGCAGGCAGAATAGAACTCCAAGTGAGATTCCCTTATTAATAACATTTTGAGAAAGCAGGGGTGAAGAATTTAGGGAGAAATTCAGCTTTGATAAAAACCAGCCAGCTTCAACACAAAGCTAGGTGTGAAAGATCCTATCTTGTACCCAGCGGTTTTTCTGTAGGCAATCAAATCCCTGGCTTGCTTCTACTAGCAGAACCTTTGATTCAAAATTAAACAATTAAATCATTAATTAATTAAATGGGGTGTGGGTGTTTTAGAACACTCCCACCAAATATTCACATACCTTGTTGTATGGCTTGATAGCCAAGATGTAAAGCTGAAAGGAATGAGGAGTGCCCCGTATCAATGTCAAGTGATGATCCCTTCAAATTGAAAGTGTATGAAATTTTGTTGGCTGCTGTGCTTGATACTGTCCCTGTGCCATCGTAATTGGTTGTTTTGGCAACTGCCTTGCTGGCCATGGACTCATAGTCTCGATTCATTAGACCTGTGGATATAGATGTTATATTTTTCAATCACTGACTAACACTTTAACGTATTTCCAAACACTTATTTGTTTCACATCAATCCTGAGTTTCTACTAATGGGCACTCAGAGAGCTAGAGCTGATGAAACCATGCATACACATACCCAGGTGTCTGTATGTCACTTCACCTTAGAGGGCAGAGATATCAAGGTGGACATTCATAGAGATACCAAGGTGCTTGTTTATAAAGCTATTTTCCTCCCAACTCTGCAATATGCCTGCGAAACATGAACTGTCTACAGACGTCACACTGAACTCCTGGAATGATTCCATCAGTATTGCCTCCGAAAAATCCTGCAAATCTCTTGGGAAGACAGGCAGACAAATGACAGCGTGCTGGAAGAAGCAAAGTCCACCAGCATTGAAGCGATGCTCCACCGGACTGGCCACGTTGTCCAAATGCCCAATCACTGTCTCCCAAAGCTATTATTTATACTTCCAACTCAAGAATGGAAAAGAATGTTGGGAGACAGGAAAAAAGATTTAAAGATGGGCTTAAAGCTAACCATAAAACTGTGGCATAGACATCAAAGCTGGGAAGCTTCACTGTGGAAGAACATGCGGATCAAGAATAGGTCTCCACAGCCACCTACGTATCCACTGCCAAGACACTACACTTGCAGGACCATCTTCCTCAGGCTACGAGGGATCACCAAAGTAAGTAAGTATGATGGCAGAACACTGCATCTATGAAGCCCATTGCTGATCCCAGTTTATGTAATTTAATCAGAGAAGTCTTTTGCATTGTTCAATTGCTCACCAACAAAAACTCCTGTTTTGGTGCCACTGATGTTTTCTCTTGTGACTCCTGCATCTTCCAGTGCTCTGTAGGTACATTCCAGGAGCAGCTTTTGCTGGGGATCAATGTGTTCAGCTTCCTCCTTGCTGATGCCAAACAACTGATTGTCAAATGCATTAAATCTAAAAAATAAAAAAAATGAAAGCAAGAGAATATGCTGTATCCAGCATTACTTATAAACAACTAATAACTTAATGCAACAAAGTGAAACTTTAATCAATGAAAGTGTAATTCTACATGCTGTTGATATTAACATAAAAATGGTCTAGACGAGACACAGCAGCTACTATCCTAATATTATTTTTTGTAGTGCAGAGATTATACCCAATCCAATGTTGCATTTGGCTTGGAAAGTTTGCACCAGGGAAAAGAGGCAGAATTCTAGAGTTACAAGGGCCATCCAGTACAAACCCCATCATACAGGAATACACAATCAAAGCACTTCTAACAGATGGCCATCTAGCCTCTGTTTAAAAAACCCCAAAGAAGTATCTACCATGCTCCAAAGTAGTGTATTGCACTGTCAAACAGCTCTTAACATAAATAAGTTTTTCCTAATCTTTAGGTGGAATCTCTTTTTCTTGTAGTTTGAATCTATTGCTCTGTGATCTAGTCTCTGGACCAGCAAAAAACAAACTTTCATCACCTTAAATATCATAGTTACATCATGGAGTTTTGTTCCTTTTATATATTTTAACCTGCCTATTATGTCATCTCTCAACCTTTTCTACTCAGGGCTAAACACACCCAACTTCATTAGCTGCTCTTCATATGCCAGCATTTCCTAATCAAGTTACTAAACCTCTTAGCAAAAACATTCTTGCCAGCTTCTGTGAGCTGCAGCCTATCACTTCCTAGAAGTCTGTCTTCATGAAACTTTAGACAATGGTCCAAAAAGCCCAGGTCCTGGTAGTACTATCTGCAGAGCCCATTGTTTCTCTCTACCATTCCTTCGCTTCTTCACCATGTTCTTCAACTGGGAGGAGAAACAAAATGACAACCTATGCCTCAAAATCCTCCATCCTTCTATCCAGACCCTTGTAATCCCTTGTGATATCTTGAAAGCTGTGCCTTGAAGTAGCACTGGTTTCAACATATATCAAAGAAAGGGGTTAATCATCACTGGACTTGAGGAGTCTTGTTAGCCTTTCTGTTACATCATGGAGTTTTGCTCCAGAAAGACAGCACACCTCTTGAGACTTTCCATCAGGCCTACAAATCACGGCTTCTGTCCCTATCTGTAGTGTGTCCCCTAGTACAACACAACTCCACTCTGGATTGAGAGGAACCATTCCATGTTCTGAATTTTCCAAGGTAATCTGAAAGTTTTCTGGAGATTCTGTTCCTCTTCTTCATTATCAGTGATAAGGCAGAAAGCTTCAGCTTAATTCTGCAGCTTTGAACTCACAGAATGGTTCTTGGTCTTTCTATGTGTCACATTCCTCTCAATTTCTACCTCCTCTTCAGAGACATTGCTTGTGTGTTTGTCATTCAGGACAATCTGTTCTACTCATGCTCCCTAAAGTGCTGAAGAGTAGATACAAGGCCTTCAAGTTGCTGGACCTTCTCTTCCAAGATGGTCACCAACTGAACTGAACTGAAACGTAGATGATCTACAAAGGGGGAGTGTCTCCCTGTTGGTTCTCCTGAACTTCTCAGTGGAGTTCAATACCATCAACCATGGTATCCTTCTGGGTCGTCTTGCTGGGATGAAATGAAGAGGCACTGTTTTACAGTAGCTCCTTTATTTCCTAGAGGACTGAATCCAGAAGGTGGTGCTGGATGACTCCTCTTCGACCCCTTGGCTATTGGCCTGCGGGGTCCCTCAAAGATTCTGTCACCCATACTGTTTAACATTTTCATGAAACCACTGAAGAGTTTTTGAGTTTGGTGCTACATTTATGTAGACGATGCCCAACTCTGTTTCTTCTTTCCACCAAAAGCCAAGGATGCCGTTCAGCTGTTCGATCAATGTCTATCAACAGTAATAGACTGGATGAGGGCAAACAGATTAAAATTAAATCCTGACAAGACAGAGGTGCTCCTGTTCCGTCGTAAGAAAGACCAGAGTATAGGGATACAACCTGTGCTGGACAGGGTTACACTCCCCCTGAAGACACAGGTATGCAGCTTGGGGGTGACCCTGGATTCATCGCTGACCCTGGAGCCTCAGGTGTCGGCAGTGGCCAGAAGTGCCTTTGCACAGCTAAAACTTGTGCGCCAGCTGCACCTGTACCATGAGAGCCCAGATCTGGCCATGGTAATACATGCCTTAGTTACATCTCAACTGGACTATTGCAATATGCTCTATGTGGGGCTGCCTTTAAAGAGCACTCGAAAGCTTCAGCTGGTTCAGAGGTCTGCAGCCAAGTTACTAATGGGAGAATCATACAAGGAGAGAACAATTCCCATGTTACAGCAGCTGCACTGGCTTCCGGTTTGCTACCAAGTGAAATTTAAAGTACTTGTTGTTACCTTTAAAGCCCTAAAGGGTTCAGGTCTAGACTACTTGGCCAATCGCTTCTCCTCATATGAACCTGTCCGGACTTTGTGCTCATCAGGGGAAGCTCTCCTCTTGGTCCCACCTCCATCTCAACGCGGTTGGTGGGGACAAGAGAGAGGATCTTCTCTGCAATTGCTCCCTGTCTCTGGAACTCCTTCCCAAACAGCAGAATGGCCCCAGAAATGTACTCTTTTAGGAAGCAACTAAAAACCTTTCTATGCACCCGGGCATATGGAGAGGTGAATGTTTGAAGATCTTGCCCACGAAACAAGGAATGAAATATGGATATCGCTTTTAACCCTGTTTTTATTGATATTGTGTGATGTGTTTTATTGCTCTCTGTGTGATTTGTTTATACGGTTGAATGTTTTAGATTATTTATCTGTATTGTTTAATTTATTGTTGTGTTTTTATGGCACTGAATGTTTGCCTTTTATGTTGTGAGTCACCCATGGGGAGATAGGGCAGGATATAAATAAAGTTTTACTTTACTTACTTATTTACCAACTGCACTTGCTGGAAATATAATTACCCACTCCTGTGGCAAGAACACAAACATACAGTACCATAGCCTTTGCAGGTGGCTGGAGCAGGTCCCTCACAATCCATATTTAGTTGTCTCAATTTAGCACTGAAACAGAACTCCAGCTCTCTTTTTCAAAATTCCCTGCTAAAAAACATCCCACACGTCCCTGTTGGCTGTGTCTGCTCACACAAACAAAAGCTTTATCCCAACAGACTCAACAACCTAAAGCTAAACCCAACAAAACTCTCTCAAAAGACTCTCTGGGGTTTAACCCAACAGACACAGTTCGCCTTATGCAGTGTCTTTCACCATGCCCACCAAAATCCGCCTGATTGCTTTCCTCCTTAGTTGAAGTCCTGGTGCATCATTGAAATTGACATATCAGTGGCAATTTACACTATGCAAGCACAATACATGATCTCAACCATGCACCAAATAAGCATGACTAGAGAGATGTACATTACCAATACTCACATGTTTCTCCATAGCTTATGATCAATTTTCTACTCAGATCTTATGGTATTCTTATTTATTTTTCAACAAATACTAAATAAATACCAAAAGTACAGCCTTCTTATGGTATTCTTATCTATTTTTCAATAAATACTAAATAAATACCAAAAGCACAACTGGGAGAATTTTCTCTGAAAAATAAATAAGAATATTTTTAAGCAGTTACCCTCGCAGTTCATATAGAAACTCTGCCTTGCTCTCAAATCTAGAAAGTGTCAATGCAGGCAGTCCTCTAGCTGCAAACAAGATAGGTTTTGTAGGTTTGTTCTTAAGTTGAATTTGTTTGTAAGTCAGAACAGGTACATTTTTGAAGTATAACTCCAGCCAAACATGTATATATTTTAGTTTTGGATAGCATAGGGAAGGATTAACACCCCTGTGGTGTTTCCTTTGCTATCTGTGCTCCTGTTGAGAAGATTTCACTTCACTTTTGTCTCTGTGATAATTGGATTTTGAAAAAAATGTGCTTTGTTGTGGAAACAAGGATTGGCGAGAAAGCTTCAGTTAAGAAACCTTTTCCACATGATAATTCTTTCAGGAATGAATTTCCCTTCCAAGGGACAGATTTCTCTCACTTCCTGTTGCCTGGCGCAATGGGTTAAACCCTTGTGCTAGCAGGACTGAAAACCGATAGGTTGGAGGTTCGATTCCGGTGAGAGTGCAGATGAGCTGGAGCTCCCTCTGTCAGCTCCAACTCCCCATGCAGGTACATGAGAGAAGGCTCCCACAAGGACTGTAAAACATCAAAACATCCAGGTGTCCCATGGGCAACGTCCTTGCAGACAGCCAATTCTCTCACACTAGAAGCGACTTGCAGTTTCCCAAGTCACTCCTGACACAAAAAAGCCTGTTCTTAACTAAGAGTCATTTGTAAGTCAGATGTCTGTAACTCAGGGGCTGCCTGTACTTTTTTGGCAAGATTTAAGACTTACTCATCAAGAAGAGCAGCACGAGTTGTACATATTTTATCTGGCTTGTTATTATCTGGCTCATACCACTCGCTAATGTTAAATCTTTCTGGAGGTATTTCTATAGTACAGTCTCTGCCATTTTCCAGCACTGTCCAGAAATTGTCCAGTCCTTCACCTGTTGAATGAGGAAACAGACAAACAAAGGAAGCATGTTTAATTGTACTGTCTTTATTTCCAAAATGCCATGCCTTTCCTGTTCAATCCATCTGAAATTTGCTGATTAAAATGTATCCATTCATTGTCATGTCCAAAAGTCAGGACAGGATGTCAATTTGCGTATACTGTCATTACTTAAAAATGCCTAATGAAGGTGGTTTTACTTCAGAGTGCAAATATCTTAGTAATTGGGATTTGTATGTATGAATAACATATAATTTGGTAGGGGAGTGCATTACATCTGAGAAAAAAATCTTGCACAAAATTAACCCTGATGATAGCACATCGCCTAAGAGATAGTATATACTCGAGTATAAGCTGGGGTTTTCAGTCCTTTTTTAAGGCTGAAAAAGCCCCCTTGGCTTATATTCAAGTCAAAGTTATTTATTATTTTACTTCGTTATTATTATTATTATTATTATTATTATTATTATTATACTTTATTTATTATTATTACACTTACATTATTTTCCTCTATTATTTTTATTACATGTATTATTTTCTCTATGTATTATTATTACATTTATTATTTTTCCTCTATTTATTATTGTTATTATTACATTTATTATTTTACTCTATTATTACTGTTATTACATTTCCATTATTTTACTCTATTATTTTTATTTGTATTACATTTATTATTTTTCTCTCTGTGTTATTATAATTACATTTATTATTATTCTCTATTTATTATTATTATTACATTTATTATTTACTCTATTATTACTTTTATTATTAGATTTATTATTTTACTCTCTTTATTATTATTGGAAGGATGCACAAGCACATTTACATTGATGAAGATTAGAAAAATGGTTTAATCAGAGTTGCACAGTCTAATCTTAAATTACACTTTCATGTAAATATTCAGAAACAATTAACCTACTGATGCCTTAGCTAATGTAATTTTATTGGTATCTATTTTTATTTTGAAATTTACCAGTAGCTGTTGCATTTCCCACCCTCAGCTTATACTCGAGTCAATACGTTTCCCCAGGTTTTTGTGGTAAAATTAGATGAGTCAGTTTATATTTGTGTTGGCTTATACTCAAGTATATATGGTAGTTTCCTACAGACTTAAGTTTATGATTTTAATTAGGGTGTAAAAGCCGAACTGCCTATACATAATATATTTTCATAATATATTTCATTATATTTCGTAACATTCACAATATATGTTGAAATGAAGGTACTGTTGGCTAATATGTGTTGCACTAAACAAGGATTTCAGCCAAAGATGACGTCCAGAGCATTTTCAGAAACTGTTTTCCAATGCCTGGTATTATTTTTAAAAGCTTATATTGGAAACCAGAAGTGAGTCTGAGTTGAATAAAAATTTAACTTGGGAGCCAATTTGAAATTGTGCCCAGAAGTTTCCTAATTCCACATCCTCTTATACTTTTTCAAGAAAAAAGCAGATGGAATGTCCTCTTTTTCACAATATTTTGGGATTTCATTCAGAGTTCAAATAGTTTTAATGGGAGGGAAGCATTTTTAATGTCTTGTTATTGTGGAAATGAAATCAAACATTTGAAGTGTGATCGAAAAGATGCAAAGCCCCCAGTTTGTAGTGGATCAATCAGTGGAATTTCCAGGATGTCACAGTAATATCTCAAGCATTATAGCCACAGATGTATAACCTTTCTAGATTTGCTTTTATGTTTATCTTTACATCATAAATCCTTGGTTTGAATTACAGAAGTTCCTATGAAGACGGTAAGACTACAATACCACTTTCTATAGAATAACTGAAGAGTTGTGGAATGAGGAAAAAGGGGAAATGTGCAGGTAAATTCCTTTCTATTTATCATAGGATTACCTCCTGGAAAGTTACATCCAATTCCCGCAATAGCGATTTGAATCTTAGATGTCATCTTTTATGTTTTAATATGTTCTGGCTGCTAGACAAGGAAATCAGCCCCTAGAAAATAAAAGAGAATGGTGAACAATGAGAGGATACATGCTTGGCACAGTGCAAATTGACTTTGAGACATAAGGATGTTTTTGGAATGACTGGTTGTTAACTAAGTATACTAAATTCTGGCTCCTGATGAAGAATGTTTCTGGCTCCAAATGTGTCAGAATAAAGCACCTGTGATTCTACATATATTGAATATTTGTTAATGACTGCTAATACAAAAGTAAAGCAAATATTAATTTCAATGGCAAAATATTCATTATTGTATTTGTTCTTAGTAAGGATCTCTACATAATCCAGTGGTTCCCAATCTTTTTTTGACCAGGGACCACTCTCCAGCATTAGTGCCAAAGGGGTTACAAATCAGTCTTTGGTCAATTTTAGATTTGGTTTGGTTATTTGTGGTGCCGATTCAGAAAATTACATTGGATAGACCACATCAGCTCTAGTTTCTGATGCAGAACATATGCCATCCAGTAGTCACCATCTGCTCACCCACAAAAAACCATATTTAATAATCTAGAGCTAATGTGGTAGTAGTAATCTTTGGTGGGTAGTCAGCCTCTCCCCTCCTGACATCCCAGTTGCCTCGGCACTATAAGAAGGTTTTGCGAGACCAGTTGCTCTCATTGGTCTCGCTAAAACGATCCATCAGTGTTGCCTCTGAAAAATCCTCCAAATCTCTTGGGAAGACAGGTGGACAAATGTCAGTGTGCTGGAAGAAGCAAAGACCATCAGCATTGAATTGATGCTCCTACGCCATGCCCGATCACAATCTCTCAAAGCAGTTACTATACTCCCAACTCAAGAACAGGAATTTTAATGTTGGTGGACAGGAAAAGAGATTTAAAGATGGGCTTAATGCCAACCTTAAAAATTGTGGCATAGACACCAAGAACTGGGAAGTTCTGGTCCTTGAGTACTCTTACTGGAGGTCAGCTGTGTCCAGCAGTGCTGCTGAATTCGAAGAGGCACAAATGGAGGTCGAAAGGGAGAAACATGCCAAGAGGAAGGTGCATTAAGCCAACGCTGACCAGATCTGCCTTCCACCTGGAAAACGATGTCCTCACTGAGGGAGAACATGCAGATCAAGAATAGGTGTCCACAGCCACCTATGGACCCATCACCAAGACACTACACTTGGAGGATCATCATCCTTGGGCTATGAGGGATTGCCTAAGTAAAAGTAAGTCTCATTGCCGCATGGTTTCAAGGTAATGGTGTAGTAATGGTGAGGCCACGGACCATATTTTCGTTCTTGCAGACCACTGGTGGTCCATGGACCACAGGTTGGGAACCACTAACATAATCTAAATATTCAACATCAACAATATTCTGAAAAGGTATCACTATTCAAGAAGTATAGGGCCATTACTTTTAAATAGCAAATGTTTGAGAAATAGAATGATTCAGAGTTTAAGTAGTAAATGAAATCAAATATACGAAGTGTGCTTGAAGAAATGCCAAATCCCCAGTTTGTAATGGATCAATTGGTGGTGTTTCCAGTATGCCACAATATCTTAAGCATCATAGCTACAGATGTATAACCTTTCTATTTTGCTTTTATGTTTAACTTCAGATCATAAGTCCTTAGTTTGAATTACCAAAGTTCTTATGAAGATGGTAAGTGTACAATACCTCTTTCTGTAGAGTAACTGAAAAGTTGAGGAATGAGGAAAAGGGAAAATGTGCATGTAAATTCGCTTTTATTTATCATAGGATTACCTCCTGAAAAATGGCACCCAATTCCCATAATAGCAACTTGAATCTCAGATGTCATCTTTTATGTTTTAATTTGTGCTGGCTGCTAGACAAGGAAATCAGCCCCTAGAAAATAAAAGAGAATGATAAATAATGAGAGGATACGTGCTTGACTGACTTTGTGCAAACTGACTTTGAGACATAAGGACTTTTTCAGAATGACTCTTTGTTAACAAAGTAATTTTAGCTCCTTATGATGAATGTTTCTGGCTTCAAATGTGTCGGAATAAAGCACCTGTGATTCCTCAAGGGTTATCTGGAATGTAAGGTTACAATATTTTTTTTAAAAATTACAAAGAATGAATATATTTTAATAAAACTTACATGGATTGTAGTATAGGTATTACATTATTTTTCCACATAATCACCATTCAGTTCAATATATTTTGTCATCTGTGGGACCAGTTTTTGATGCCTGTGTTATAGAAGTTTCCCTTTGCCTTTTTCAGCCAGTTTGTCACCTCGTCATTGTTGGAAAAGTGTTTTCCACCAAGGTGTTCCTTTAATTTAGAGAACAGATGATAGTCACTGGGTGTGAGATCAGGGCTGTGAGAGGGGTGGCATCCCAACCAAATGAAGTCAACAACTCTTGTGTTGCGTGAGCAGTGTGCGGATGTGCATTATCATGAAGGAGACAGATTCCCGCCATAAGCATTCCACGACTTTTGTTTCAGATGGCTCTGTGAAGTATCTTCATGGTCTCACAATGTATTCTGTACCCATTTTGTCATATGCTGTCTTAACATTACATCCTGTCCATAAACCGAAACAATTTCACAATGAATCGCAGCGGCGTTCATACACTTAGCATTTACTTACTTAGGCAATCCCTCGTAGTCCAAGGATGATGGTCCTCTAAGTTCGGTGTCCTAGCAATGGGTTCGTAGGTGACTGTGGAGCCCTATTCTTGACCTGCATCTTCTCCTGCAGTGAGGACATTGGTTTCCATGTGGAAGGCGGTCCCGGTTGGGGTTGGCTTGACGCACCTTCCTCTTGGCACGTTTCTCTCTTTCGCCCTCCATTCGTGCCTCTTCAAATTCTGCAGCACTGCTGGTCACAGCTGACCTCCAGCTGGAGCGCTCAAGGGCCAGGGCTTCCCAGTTCTCAGTCTCTATGCCAGAGTTTTTAAGGTTGGCTTTGAGCCCATTTTTAAATCTCTTTTTAAATCTCACCAACATTCCGTTTTCCATTCTTGAGTTTGGAGTAGAGCAACTGTCGGGCATCCGGACAACGTGGCTGGTCCAGCAGAGTTGATGGCGGAGGACCATCGCTTCAATGTATTACAGTGTGAACTTTGCACTTGGAGGGAAATGAAATGAGGACGCTCATCTCTAATCTTCACCACAACACCAGTCGATGAGCTACTGACAACTGGCACTGCTCATTCACTTCCGCTGGCTTCCCGCTACATGGCAGTGATGTCAACTTCCCCTGCGAAAATTCCCCGCAAAAGCTACATGGCTTGTAACCTTACTTTCCAGATAACCCTCGTATATATATTGAAGATTTGTAAAGCACTGCCAATACAAAAGCAAAACAACTATTAATTTCTAGAACAAAATATTATTTTTTTTGTTCTTGGTAAGGATCTTTACGTATTCTAAGCATTTAACATCTACAATATTCTGAAAGCTATCACTATTCAAGTGGTATAGGGCCAGTATTGTTAAATAGCAAATGTGCGCTAGAATATTTAAGAGTTTAAGTAGCTCTGCTCCACAGAACTGAAGGATCACAAAGCACACTCCTTTACTTCCGGGGTGCAGAGCTATTAACTTCCATATGCACAAGTCACTTTTTGGGTAATGCTTGACAATCCCTCACTTACAGAGACCCAGAGTTATTGACATCTATGTGCATTTAGCTGCCACAGGAAGCGGATTCAAGTGGTCAGTGTAGGTGTGTCTCACATATACAATAGACAGCGGATGGCAGGCCACAGGCTACAGAAGAAGGCAAACCTTGGATGGGACTTTCTTGACAAGACTTGTTCGGAGGGGGTTGGCCTTTGCCTTCTACTAAAGCTGAGAGAATATAGACCTCTGATAAATGAGTGCATGACAATCTTACATCTCGTTAATTAGAGATCTAATCACTCAGTGAGAATAGCTAAGTTAAATTGTATTTTTAATATGGGATGCATCTGCACTGTAGAATTAATACTCCTTGGCATCATTTTAATTGCTATGGTGCTTTTCCATGCAAGAATTAGGAAGTTCTGATTATTTGAAACACATTTATCTCTGCGGCCATTTGAAAGTGCAACAACACATTGTCTCAACTATGTTATGATTATGTTAAGAATCTATTACAATTATATTAAAATTGTTATTCAAGTGCTTTCTGGTTTTTTGACCAGTTCATTCAGATTTTAGCCACAAGCAGTGCCTGAGCTGCCATATTTTTATATAAGGAGTTCCTATATACACAGAACTATCCTCCTTATGCAAGGCACAATAAAGAAAATTGAATACGATTCCACATCACATGTTCTAAAAGACTTGGGACCAATGCCTTTCCAAGAATGAGTCATGGTGAGTTATTTGAATTACGCCCTCGTAATTAATTATGATCCAATCTCTGTTTCATTCCCCTTGATCTTATCACAGCAGAAGACAACATTCCTCCTTGAAATATTTCACATTCTCAAACTTTGCAGCAATCGGTTTATGTTAGGCTGTTACTGTTATCATTTTAATGCAATTTATTTGAGTTACATTTTTTACTTCAGAATTGCCATTTCTACGCTGTTGTTTGTGGACAGTTTTATTTTGATTATAGATTATAACTGGCTATTTGTACATAAGGGGAATGACTAGAACCAACAAGCAGAAGCAGCAAACATCCGTTTAAGAATGCAGTAGAACAGCTATAGCAGCAGTAGGAGGGAAAACCTTTGAAATGTAATTCAGGGTGCACCTACACTGTAGAATTAATGCAGTTTGACACCGCTTTAGTTGCCAAGGCTCAATGCTATGGAATCCTGGGATTTCTGGTTTAATGAGGCACCAGCACTCTTTAACAGAGAAGGCTAAAGTCTGTGAAAATACAAGTCCTATGATTTCATAGCATTGTACCATGGCAATTAAAGTTGTGTCAAACTGCATTAATTCTGCAGTATAGATGAGGACACTCAGAGTGGATTTTTTTTATTTATTTACTTACTTACTTCATTTCTACCCTTCCTTTCTCTACCTCAGAGGAGACTCAAGGCGCCTTACAAATCCAGCAAAATTC